AAAAAAAAAAAAAAAAGAAAAGAAAACTTAAGCCCAGCCTAAACTGTATTAGTGAGACTCATCTCAAGGAAAAAAAAAGGAAAAAAAATTATGTTCTCTATAATATAGAAATTATATCTCTTTAATACCTTTATCAATATAGCTATTTATATCTATCAATAGTATTAATACTAATATTGCCTGCCCCTCATCCTTCAGGTTATGCGTAAGTCAAGAGGATTTAATCTGTAACTATTCATCTGTACTTTATCAATTTCTTTATCCAGAAGCATCACAAAGTAATAATGAACAGTATCTAACTTCTATTTTCCATTCGACCTTAATCCCAGCATTCCATCTCTGAAAGCCATCAGCAAGTCAAAAAATGCATTTACTAGCCTCACTTTCTACTAGGGCATTGTATTCTCATTCTTTTTGTCTTCAACATTCTTTATGCCCCTATGAAAGAGCAGTCCTTTTCATGCTCACATTATTGTGTTCTTTTAATTTTTTTCAGCATTTCTCATCTTGATCTATATCTTCTTCCATCCTCTACTCGCTCTTCCTGGTTTACGCTAGCTTCAGTCAACAACAACACTCTTGATTCCACGTGAACAATTCCTGGCCAAGACTTCCACATGCTACAGGAGACCATACTTACCTTGTCAAGTTTACAAACCAGTTCACTTTTTCTCATTGATGGGTTAATTCTTAATCAGTATCTTTGCAATGATCACTAGTTCTTTAAGGGAAAAAAAACAATCTAGCTCTTATCACATACAGATTAAAACCTTCATTAATCTCATTGGTATCCATTTATTCCCAATTCTTCCTTCTCAAGTCTTTTTTTTTTTTTTTTGAAACAGGGCCTCGCTATGTATTTGACTGGCCTTGCACACACTGTATATCCAAACTCACAGCAATCCTCCTGTCTCAGCCTCCCAAGTGCTGGGATCACAGGCATGCACCACCATGTATGCATTTCACAAATTATTTTTGTATAGTGATGCCAATATCATCTCCCTAAAAATGGGTAAGAAACCAAAGAAGCTATACTAGTACTCTCCAGCTGAATTCATCAAACCCTTCTTCACTTTATTTATTCAACTTTATTGCTACTTCTGCAGTAATAGCCTACCCATACTCTACAACCTAATACTTAATAGTACCTTCTCAAAGTTGCTTTCTAAATGTGCAGTTTAATTTCTCTAACATTTAGCTTTTCACTTTTTGCATTGTTTCACATAAAGCTATACACACTCAAGACATAATCCAGCATTGTATAAATTACTTCTAACTTATTCTTATATTTTAATTAAAATCCTTAGTCAAAAGGATAACATATATAAAAGACTGCTATGCAACATCAGATCAAGACACTTTTAACACTCTTCATATCAAAAAAGTAGCCCCTGGATCTAAGCAACTTTACCTGAAACATGTTATCATCTCTGCTGCTGCTGCTCTGCTTAGAAGATGACAGAGCTCTAGAAGTTTCACCAGTCTTTTGCTTCTTTACAGGTTTTTCTGGAGCAACTTGCTTTTTCCTCTTTAACTTGAAAGAAAAAACAAGAATATGGTTAAATTTACATACATAAACATACATAAATCTCAAGTTGAATATTTCACTACTTTTGAAGAATTAGAGTTAAAATACTACACTAAAAAAAAAACATCAAGCTGGGCATGTGCACACCTATAATCCCAGCACTGGGGAGGCTGAGGCAGAAAGATCACTGTGAGTTTGTATCTAGCTTACGGTACATAGTGATCTCAAGGCCAGCCTAAACTACATACCAAGACCCTGTTTCAAAAAAAAAAATCAAATATAAGTAATCAAAAGAAGGACCAGGAATGTAACTTAGGGGCACTACATCTGCCTGGCAAATACGAGGCCCTGAGTTCAATCCCCAGTACCAGGGAACAAAATAAGTAATCAAAATGTACAATGAATGTTTAAATTTTTTAAAAAACACCTTATTACAGTGGGCCTGGGATTTAGCTCAGTGGCACCACACCTGCTTTGCAAGTGCAAGGTTCTGAGGTCCCGAGTTTGATCCCCAGTACCACAAAAAATACCTTATTACAGTAAAAGACCCATTACTGAGAACAATGGTATAAATGCATCTGAAGCAAGGAGTATTTTGAGGGAGCTAATGGTAATGTGTCTTACCATAATTTTTTTTAAATTTTAATATGCACCATATTTTTGATATCATACATACATAATAAAATTTCACTTAACAACAGAATTATGAAACTAATTTAACTAATCACTTCCTCAAACTGTGTTCTCAGGATCCTGAAAAATATCTGAAGCATTATAGTGGGATTAGCCAAAGGGACGCTATGTAAGATTTCTTCAGAAGAATAAAAGACCTGATGCTTTCAAATAAACTTTGAGAAGCACAAGCTAATTCAGTACTTATTTTTTAAATCCCCCAAAATGGGGGGACCCCACAAATATAACCAACTTATCCCATTTCTAAGATATGAATGGGTTCAAGCCCTACTTCTGGTACCAAAAAAAAAAAAAAAAAAAAAAAAAAAGAAAAAA